ATTTTTTCTAATATTTTATTTTTATTTATAATATTTTATTTATAGAAGCATTGAATGGTTAAGTAAATAAGTAAGATGTAAAATTAGAATTAGAGAGAAAAGACAGTCCTACTCTAGAAGGCAATCTCATAACCACACCCTATATTGCTTCTGGTGGCACAGTAGTTAAGAGCTTCGCTGCCAATCAAAAAGTCTGCAGTTCGAATCCACAAGCAGCTCCTTGGAAACTCTATGGGGTAGCTCTGAGTTGGAATGGACGGCAATATGTGTTGGGTTTTATATTGTTTCTTGGTGGGCAAGTCAAAGGTACTAGACTACCTCCTCTTTGAGGATCAATCAAAATTTGTATCAGTTTATGTTTCTCACTCTCTGGTGGCAACATAATTCACCACTCTTTTGTATCAGGTCTTTAACCGTATCCCCCACGTGCAGGTCGAATGTCGGTTCCGGTCTATAACTATGAAACAGCCCTGCTAAAAATGACTAAGAAGCTAAATCTCTGTATAATGAACCTAAGGAATATAAAACTCTGATAAGGTAACCAAAGGAAATGTCTTGTCACTCAAAAATGAGTGAACACTCTAAAGGTCAGGGAATTTTATTTCTTCGCTCTAGTTCAAAGGATTGAATTTCTGATACAGCCTCACAGCACAGATTTTAACAAGTACAAAAAGAATGTAATACAAATTCTTTTTTTTTTTTTTCTGACAATGAATAATTAAGCTAACTCTTAGCATTTCCAGTTTAGTCACTTTCCTCGGCCTGTTTTGCTCAGAAACAATGCTAGGCAAAGATTTGTTCCCTACGGTAACATCAGATGAAGCCCCTGGGTGGCATAAATGGTTAATGTGCTCAAAAGGTTGGAGGTTCAAGTCTACCTAGAGGTGCCTCAGATGAAAGACTTGGCAATCTACTTCCAAAAAATTAACCATTGAAAACCCTACAGAGCCCAGTTCTATTCTGACACATGTAAGTTTGCTATGAGTCAGAATCGACTCCACACAACTGGTTAACAATTTAAGATATTGGAAAAAAGAAAAGCATATGTATTTACACATTTCCTTTGAAGAATATGTATTTTTTTCTCCCTATTTCCATGTTTAGCTGAATTATATGTATAAAATAGTTTTATTTTCTTAGTCAGCATTTTTCATTAAAACTTAAGGGAGTTTGCATTCTTCCTTGTGCCTTTCATTTCTAAGATCAGTGCGTATTTTTGTTTTCTTACTTTCAACCTTCCTTCCTTTCTTCCTCTTTCTCCCTTTTTCCCTTCCTCCTTTCTTATGTTTTTCTCCTTTCTTTATTTTTTCTTGGGCAAACTATTTTTCCAGAGAAAATAGTTTGTAGAACTCCAATATAATTAATGAATAGAGTAAATGTTTTTATTTATTTATTTTTAATTAGTGTGGGGGCCTGGATGAATCAGAATTGACTAGATGGCAATGGGTTTTGGGGGGCTTGGAGCCTCTTTATGTAGTGCCACCTCTCCCCCTACATTTCCACCCCCCAAATCCCACATTCCCACCCTTTTATCCCTTTGCATCACACCAACTCCTTGGGCTCTATAGCAGTAATATGAAAAACACTATTCTAAATGATTGGCAACAGCAATCAGTGAACAATATACATAAATATTGTAATCAGAGATTTAAACATTTCTGAGGCACCCATAGTTAGGTGTCTAGCTACTAATAATCTAGTAGGAAAATGTGTTCTTCAAATGCCTTTTCTGCTACTTCAAAAAGTTACCATGAGGATCAAGTGTAGAATATTAGGGGAGACACCTTAGAAGTCAATCAATCCAATTCCCCACCTGATGATTGCATTCTACACGCAAGCCGTTTTAGATGAAGGTCATTCCAGTTTGAAAAGCTCTAATTTTGAGAAAATTGTTATGAATAACTACAAGAAAATTTTTGAAAATATTTTATAAACTGCACAGAGTTCTACAAATTCAAGATATTGTTGCTCCATTGTGCCAGGTATCCCAGCGGATATAAGATGGATAAGATATCATTTCTCTGGTCTAAAAGTTTGTAATTTTGTTGCGGGGGGGAAACATGAAAATAACTAAAGGACAAAGTAGGATATGATTTTTACCAAAAAAGAATAAAAATGCATTCTGAATATGCAGAAAAGAGAGTTCATATTCATTTGAGAAAATAGAGAAAGGTCTTATAAAACTGAGATGGGCCGCAGATGTGGAGTAATGTTCTTCTAGAGATTGGAGTGCCTAGGGGTCCAGATATTGTAAGAGTAAGGGTATGGAGATGAAGAATGGCAAGGCTTTTCAATAGCGAAGGGTCCAATATGACAAAAAATTGGGGCATACTGAGAATCAAATGTAAGGAATTCAATATGAGTCAGTATTAATTGGTTGCAATGCAGATCTAATACACAAGCATTCTAAAGTCATACAGACTTGGTTTCAAATTCCAGACTAGCTAATAACAATGTAACTTTGGCAAAGAATTTACCACTACTTTTTATCTTTTAAAAATTGAGAGTAAATCAACTAGGAAACAAGGAAAAGAGTATGAAAAAAATAAATGTTCATTATTATCACCATCTTTGTGATTAATATTGCCATGAATTATTGTTTTTGGGTAGATAAAAATTTAGTGGAGTAACAGGTTTTCTTTTTTCCTCTTTGCTTTTAATCTGTCCGGACTAGTGTTAATTTTCCTTTTAAAATTTCATAAAATAGCAGCACTTAATTTCTCTTTAAATTTGAATGAGAAGTATTCAATAGAAGAAGGATGAGTTTTAACCCAACAGCTGTCAAACCAAATCCTTACATAATAACCTTGCAAATGCTTGTAAGCTAACTTTTATTTATACTTTTAAAAATGTCTTCAAATTTAAAATTGCACTTCTCCACAATATTATATTTCATTTAAAATAAATTTAAAGCTTTGTTAAATTCACATATGATGGCAAATTTTATCAGTGTGTCTTACAGTTGGAGGTGGCAATCTTGAAATTTAAACAAAACTACCCATCATTCTAAAAAATGTGTACTGAGTGTATAGAATGCTCCAGGAGATGTATCTGGTACAGAAAGCTGAGACGTGAATAAGGCATTCTTTACCATCAAGGATCTCAGAAAGACAGTAAACTGGGAATAATGATAAAAACTTTGAAATTAGTTTTACTTGTGTGCTGTAGAAGAATTACAACAGCCTTTTCTAAGGCTGATAACAGCTGAAATTTATTGGTATCGTGTAACAATTCTGTGCTTTCCAGATGAGATGATAATTGTATTTCGTCTTATAATAACTTTATTTCAAATTATAATAAGGAACTAAAATATACTCAGGTGATGTTAGTAAACACTTTCACATCCTACTCTCTACCATCAAAGTTGAATAAACTATAGTCCATGGATCACGGTATAATTTATAGGTATGTTCACAACAGAAAATAAGAGAGAATACAATATTCTATAATAAAGAGAAAGGTTGTTTATGATATGTTTTAAGGTAAAAGATAATTAATTTCAAATGACAAGTCTTGGGGAAAATTTTGTGGAGGAGCTACTATAACAACAGACCTTGAAACAGAATTTCCACAAGGGGAAAAAACAAAGCATGCAATAGACACAACATGAATAAAGACACAGAAACTAAAATCTTAATAATAGAACTCCATCAGGAGAAAATTATAACGGGAAAAACTTGACAGTCACAATTTTATTTTTACTCAGAATATAAACTTTCATTATACATAGCTTTACTCTTTTATAGGTAAAAGAAAAAGATACAAGCCCATACATACATATATCTATATATACAATAATACTTACAATACTCAAAATGTTACTAAAAAGATAAATCAGAATGTACAAGACCTTATTCCATACCATCATAATAGCAAAAACAAAGTTCCTTCTCCAAGAAAGCAGAAATAACTTAACTATGGAGTAGACATTAGACATGGGAAATGTAATAAAGAAACACGGCTGTATCTGAAAATATTTCATCAAGCATTTGTTTCTGATCAACCAATTTGTCTTGCTGTATGCCTGAGAAGTAAAACAGCCATACAATAACAACACTCACTATGGTAGTGGTCAATACTAAGAATGTTAAATTGCCAAGGTACTAAAAATATATTAGCTTATAATCCATGAGTTGGAATCAACTCTATGGCAACAGACAACAACAATCTATTGACAATTGCAGTCGAAGAACAATGCTGTCATCAGCTTCCAGGTACTCCTTCTAATCCTTTCAAATTCTGTATTTGATTAAGAGGTCATGTTTGTCTCTTTTTGGCAACCTCAAGCAACAAGAATAAATATTACTGATAAAATAATGTCACTCATAACATCCTCTGAAGCATCCTATTAAATACCATGTATGCAAGTAGAATAGTTAGAGTCAGGTGATGCTTCATAAAGTGCGGGAAAAATGAATTTACGAGTATATTTTTCATTGAAGAGAAAATTATTGTCTTCCTTCATTGAGTAGGTGATGTAGACTTTTGGATACATCTATCTTCACCAAACAAGGCAGATTCTTTGTTCTTAAGTATTGTATAGTCCATAATATTGGATTGATGGGAATTAATCTACTTCCTAACGAGGAATCTAGATGATTTGAAGGTAAATATAAGTAGCAATGCCTACCAATTTTGCAAGCAGCCTAGCTTTCTGGAGAATATCTACACAAAAAAAAGAGAAAAATTCAAATAATCATGTTTTTCTATATACTCAGTAAATGATAATTGAACAATAAAAAGATGTTTTCAGAAGGAAAAAAAAATCTATGCTATTATCTTCAATGTATAAACAATATCTATGACTATTTTTGAGACATCCTACAATATGATTGGAAAGTGGAATAAAGTTGAATTAGTGATACCTAAAAGCCTATTCATTAATGTATCCATTGCCTTTTTTTTTACCCTGACAAACTTTTGATTAAAGAACATTGAAATCTTGGGTAATGTATAGATAAATTTGATAAGGACACAAGAGATCTACTTGAGGACAAGGAATGTTTCTTCAAGTAGGAATCTTCTCCAGAGATTTAAAGCTATTAAAATCTCTTGCAGAGGGGCGCCCGCGCCCCTCCTGCAAGACGGCGAGCGGCGCCACCGGGGGGGTTTCAGTACCTGCGCTCTGGAGTGAAATTACCCGTTATGGCCAAAACGGCGACTTCATGCGCGCTCTCAAGACAGTCAACAAGATACTGCAGATCAACAAGGATGACATAACAGCCCTGCACTGTAAAGTCGTATGCCTTATCCAGAATGGAAGTTTCCAGGAAGCCTTGAATGTCATCAATACTCATACCAAAGTGTTAGCCAATAACTCTGTTTCCTTGGAGAAGGCATATTGCGAATACAGGCTGAACAGAATTGAGAATGCCTTGAAGACCATAGAAGGCGCTAACCAGCAGACAGACAAACTAAAGCAGCTTTACGGACAAGTGTTGTACCAGTTGGAACGCTATGATGAATGCTTAGCTGTGTACAGAGATCTTGTCCGAAACTCCCAAGATGATTATGATGAGCAAAGAAAAACAAACCTTTCAGCAGTTGTTGCAGCTCAGAGCAATTGGGAAAAAGTGGTTCCAGAGAACTTGGGCCTCCAAGAAGGCACGCACTAATTGTGTTATAATGCTGCATGTGCACGGATAGGACAAGGCCAGCTGAACCAGGCAATGAAATTCCTACAAAAAGCTGAAGCTCTTTGCCGCCGTTCACTATCAGAAGACTCTGATGGCACGGAGGAAGACCCACAGGCAGAACTGGCCATCATCCATGGTCAGATGGCCTATATTCTGCAGCTTCAGGGTCGTACAGAGGAAGCTTCGCAACTTTACAATCAGATAATAAAACTCAAGCCAACAGATGTGGGATTGCTAGCTGTAATTGCCAATAACATCATTACCATTAACAAGGACCAAAATGTCTTTGACTCCAAGAAGAAGGTGAAATTAACCAACACAGAGGGAGTAGAGTTTAAGCTTTCCAAGAAACAACGGCAAGCTATAGAATTTAACAAAGCTTTACTTGCTATGTACACAAACCAGGCAGAGCAATGCCGCAAAATATCCTCCAGTTTGCAGTCCCAAAGTCCTGAGCATCTCCTGCCTGTGTTAATCCAAGCTGCCCAGCTCTGCCGTGAAAAACAGCACATAAAAACAATAGAGCTGCTTCAGGAATTTTCAGATCAGCATCCAGAAAATGCAGCTGAAATGAAGCTGGCCATGGCACAACTGAAAATTTCCCAAGGTAACATTTCCAAAGCCTGGCTAATATTGAGAAGCAGAGAGGAGTTAAAGCAAAACCAGGCATGGTGTCTGCATTAGTGACCATGTACAGCCACGAGGAAGATATCGATAGTGCCACTGAGGTCTTCACACAAAGCTATCCAGTGGTATCAAAACCATCAGCCCAAATCTTCTGCTCGTTTGTCTTTGCTAAAAGAAGCTGCGAACTTCAAACTCAAATACGGGCGGAAGAAGGAGGCAATTAGTGACCTAGAACAGCTACGGAAACAAAATCCAAAAGATATTCATACCCTGGCACAGCTTATTTCTGCTTACTCGCTTGTAGATCCTGAGAAAGCAAAAGCTCTTAGTAAACACTTGCCCTCATCCGATAGTATGTCTCTCAAAGTAGATGTTGAGGCTCTTGAAAATTCTTCTGGTGCTACGTACGTTCGGAAGAAGGGCGGAAAAGTTGCTGGAGATAAACAAAGGAGCGAGGCCAGGGAGATTTGAAAAAGAAGAAGAATTAAAAGAAGGGAAAACTGCCTAAGAATTATGACCCAAAAGTTACCCCAGATCCAGAAAGATGGCTACCAATGCGAGAACGTTCTTACTACAGAGGAAGGAAGAAGGGTAAAAAGAAGGATCAGATTGGAAAAGGGACCCAGGGAGCAACTGCAGGAGCGTCATCTGAATTGGATGCCAGTAAAACTGTGAGCAGCCCTCCCACCTCCCCAAGACCTGGCAGTGCAGCAACAGTATCTGCCTCTACAAGTAATATCATACCCCCACGACACCAGAAACCTGCAGGGGCTCCAGCAACAAAAAAGAAACAGCAACAGAGGAAGAAGAAAGGTGGAAAAGGTGGCTGGTGATTAGAACATTCTTGTTGCAGGCTATTTTAAAACTAGTCTCAGTGATGCTAGGAATATGATAAAGGTAACACAGCAAGAAGCACAGAACTGCTCCCTCCCTTACCCCTACATTTTCATAAAATTCCTTTCTTGTGCATCAAATAGGAAAACCATCTTCCTCAAACTCGATGCCTAGTCAGACTTGGCCTTCTTGTACCACCTAGCTTTGCACAGATTATGAGGGCTCGGACTCAGAATAATGAGCATTTAGCCACCTTGATATCTGTTGCATCCTTTATCTTTGTGTGCTGATCTGGTCTGTTTTCAGTTCGACAAACAAGGCATGTTATCAAAAGTTTTTCCAGGATTTACGTTTTCACCTAGAGTCTGAACATACTTGTTCCTGTTCATATTGCACATAAATTATGTCATAGGAGACTGAAAGTGGAATCTTCTGAGCATTCCAAATATCTGCTTGGGAATATCATGTAATAAAAGGGACCTTATTAATACACTGATGTTCTTCACTTCATTAAATGAGTAACCACAGGAAAACTGAAGTAAATGTCTTGACTATTCTGTCATGTGATACTGGAATACGGGATACTTTTCACTATATTTATATATATGTATAAATTGGGGCTCCTTTGCAAGCCCCTATCATCTTCAGATTATAATGACATTATACTGATTTAGCACCATTAAAGAACTCAAGGAATATCAGCATTGCAAGAAGTTGACTCTTAGACCCAGTGTTCTGAGGTCAGATTGGTTTGGACTGCCTCAATCAGAAATATTAATGGCCCCTATGAAGAGCATGAATACTGACTTCCTAAGCTGAGAGGAAATCAATACCAGAGTTCAGTACCACACATTATTAAGACCTAACAGGACCGTTTGACCGAATTAATACTTACATGGCTTCTCTTTCTAGTTATGAGTATGACCATTCATAAGCCTTCTCAGAGTAATGGATTATTTTATAGTCATCTTATGGTGTAAATGTTGTGCTTGTCTTTCCTTGCTTACAAGCCACTTTCTCATTGAACTGCTGCAGGACAAGAACATTGGGATGCCTACCCTTGTACTCATTTTATGCTATCCAAGATATCATTTAATTGAGATTTGTGAGTATTTCCTTGTGATCATATTACTCTGTCCTTGTTAATAAAGTAATGCTGTGTTTGACTCTGAAAAAAAAAAAATCTCTTGCAGAAAGATTGTGGTAGGAATAATAATTTAAATAAATAAAGTTGCCTTCAAGTGGATTCTGACTCATGGAGATCCCATACATGCAGAGTAGAACTGCCCCATAGGGTTTTCAAGGCTGTAAACTTTCAGAAGCAGATCTCCAAACCTTTCTTCTAAGATGCCTCTGAGTGGGTTTGAACCACCAACTTTCGATTAGTACTCAAGTGCTTAACCATTTGTACCATCCATGGACTCCTAGGAAAGATAATATGCCCATGAAATTAAGGAAACAAATCACTCTGGGAGCAGAAAGAGATAAAACCCAACAGGACTATTATCGCACTAAGTAGAAAAAGAGATGATGGCTTTGGGTCAAAGACTCATATAATCCACCTGGTGGGCAGACTTTACCCTGAGAATGTGACAGTGTTAGTAAATCTAGAATTTGTTTTTAATACTAGGAATTTAAGTCCGTTTGGGCACAGGGTGAAATGTGACAGACATCATCCTGAAGTGGGGGAAGACATCATATTATTTCAGATCTTGAAGAACTCCGGTGGTCTGGGCATCATTTCACACTCAAGATAGGTGGGATGGCCTGAACTGTAAGTCTGCCCAAGCACTTTATCTTGCATAATTTGTTGTAGTTTCAACTGAAACATCGATGTTCAAGAACATCAGAACATGAGCAACATTGTTTCAGCTAGCAAACATCTTAAGTTTGTTTGACTTTTAGCTGACTAGAACTTGGCTGTAGCATAAGAAGCTCAGTGACCCTTTGGCGAGAGGACTCACTCCAGAAGAATCTACTATCTGGGATAAACTCAACTCAAAGGGGACATCTGACTTCCCGTTCTATCACGGTGGGGCAAAACCCAGCAGGATTGTCTTTTGAGACATAACTCACCAACTATATATTCCTGGAGATAAATAGGAGAAGCTATATATAACTAGAAAATGGTTGCGATTGCTGAACTTTCAGACTCCTTGGGTGAGAGACATTATTCATACCCTGATCAGCAAATCAAAACATCTTAAACATACCAAACCATGGTTTTAACCTCACAGTCTTCATTGCATTTTCTCCAGTATTAAAAATAAATTTAATTTGACTTATTTTTTTTTCCTTTTCTTTTTTGCTGTCAAGCTCTCATAGGTACTAGTTGATTAGTGATTAACTGGTATATGAAAATGATTCTAAAGATAGACATGCAAATGATATGTTAATTTAAAAGGGTCAGAAATTTATTTATAGAAGTGATTGATGTGTAAGCACAGTATTTGTACTCGCTACTATAATTAGGAAGATAATATTTAATGTTTCCAAATTTCTTTACAATGTACTTAGAAACAAAGTAAGCAAAAAATAAAAATCAACCACTTTAATAGTGTAGAACTGGACACATGCAAACTGTTTCTTCTCTTCCAAGCATATATATATATATAAATATATATATAGTGATTCTACAAAAGGGCAATAACACTATTTTGTCGCTGTTTTTAAATATCTTATTCTAGCACATTGGGTAAAACCGTTCTTATCTATAATAGCAACCAGTGTGCATGTGCAATGTGGGAATCTCCCTAAATTGTTAAGATGCTTAAAGACATTGTGGTTTTTGCCTGGGATATTTTGAGAGACCTGATTTTTTTTTTCCTCTCTTTACTCTGCACTCTCTAACAGAAAGAACAAAATTTAGACGGACAAAGTTTCCATGGACACCCCACAGAGACAGGATTGTTGATGTTGTTATGTGCCGTTGAGTCAATTCTAACTCATAGCGACACTGTATGACAGTACAACTGCCCCATAGGGTTTCCTAGTCTGTAATCTTTATGGGAGCAAACTGCAAAGTCTTTTCTTCCTTGGAGCCACTGGGTGGGTTGGAACTGCCGACCTTCTGGTTAGCACCTGAGCCCTTAAAGATCGATAATGCTACATGTGCACCAAGAGAGTATAAAAAGTGTCGATATTCATATGACAAGGCTTTTTCTGGGAGAGCTGGAGGACCTCCAAAGCTACTTCAAAAAATGGCTTGAGGGAGCAGAAAAGGAGACGGGCTTGGCTTTTATGGTGGTTTGGGGGTGGACCTCACCAGCTGAAATACACAGGAATCAAATCAACTGCATCTGTGGAAAGAGACAATGGACAAGTTCTGTATCATCAGTCAGGACAAGGCCAGGGGCCAAGTGTGGAACAGACCAACAACTGCTCATATGCAAGTTCAAGTTGAAATTGAAGAAAATTAAAGCAAGTCCACAAGAACCAAAGTACGACCTTGAATATATCCCACCTGAATTTAGTGACCATCTCAAGTATAGATTTCACACATTGAACACTAATGACTGAAGAAGAGAAGAGTTGCAGGATTATGTCAAGGACATCATGCATGAAGAAAGTAAAAGGCATTAAAAACACAGGAAAGAAAGAACATACCAAAATGGTTGTCAGAAGAGATTCTGAAACTTGCTCTTGAGAACAGAGCAGTGAAAGCAAAAGGAAGAAATGATGAAGTATAAGATCTGAACTAAACATTTCAAAGGATGGCTCAAAAAGACAATGTAAAGTATTATAAGTAAATGTGCAAAAACCTGGAGATAGGAAGCTAAAAGAGAAGAACAATCTCAACATTTCTCAAGCAGAAAGAACTGAAGAAAAATTTAAATGAGTTGCAGTATTGAAGGAGTCTATGGATGAAAAAAAAATGATGCAGGAAGCATCAAAAGAAGATAGAAAAAATACACAGTCACTGTACCAAAAAGAATTGGTCGGCCATTTCTTTTTTTTAAATTGTGCTTTGAGTGAAAGTTTACACCTCAAGTTAGTTTCTCATACGAAAATTTATACACACATTGTTATGTGACCCTAGTTGCTATTCCTATAAAGTGACAGCACACACTCCTTCCATCTCAGATTTCCTGTGTCCATTCACCAGCTCCTATCCCTTTCTGCCTTCCCATCTTGCCTCTGGACAGGAGCAGCCCATTTAGTCTCATGCATCTATTTGAACTAAGAAGCACACTGCTCATAAGTATCATTTTATGTCTTATAGTCCGGTCTAATCTTTGTCCAAAGAGTTGGCTTCAGGAATGGTTTCAGTTCTGGGTTAAAAGAGAGTCCGGGGACCAAATCTTCTAGGGTTCCTCCAGTCTCAGTCAGACCATCAAGTATGGTCTTTTTACTAGAATTTGAGTTCTGCAGTCCACTTTTCTCCTGCTCCATCAGGGACTCTCCATTGTGTTCCCTATCAGGGCAGTTATTGGTGGTAGTCTGGCACCATCCAGATCCTCTGGTCTTAGGCTGATGGAGTCTCTGGTTTATGTGGCCCTTCTGTCTCTTGGGCTAATATTTTCCTTGTGTCTTTGGTGTTCTTCATTCTCCTTTGCTCCAAGTGTGTTGGGACCAATTGATGCATCTTAGATGGCCCCTCACTAGCTTCATTCAACCATTTCAGGAGGTAACATATGATTAAGAATCAATGGTACTGAAGGAAGAAGTCTAAGCTGCACTGAAAGCATTGGTGAAAAACAAGGCTCCAGGAATGGAATATCAGTTGAGACACTTCAACAGTTGAATGCAACACTGGAAACATTCTCTCATATATGGCAAGAAATTTGAAAGACTGCTTTCTGGTCAACTGACTGGAAGAGCTCCATATTTGTACCTGCAGTGCAATGGATTGCTTTTATATGGCCTTTCTGTCCATGGTCTTGTAACTCCCACCAAATGATTAGGTGGGAGTATGCAAATGAATGCTTGTGGCCCACCAAGCAGAATGGATAGCTTGCTAATAATACAAATAAGGTGCATAGCACCTTGTGGGGATGGGGCCTGTGAATAAAGTGTATGGGACCCTAACAAGAAGATTGATCATTTTTGCCTTCCCACTAGGATTAAAATGAGCCATCCCAGAGTTGGACAGGGAGGACCTCACTGTCACCAAGAAGAAGAGACGGGAGCAGAGTGCATCCTTTGGACCTGGGGTCCATGCACTGAGAACCTCCTAGACCCAGGAGATAGAGACAGCTGTAACACCAGTGACAGAACAAGACAGCAAGAGGTGGCAGAAGAGAAATAGTGGCAGCAAAACCAAGAGATTATCACAAGACTGCACATTGGGCTTCCCAACCCACAGAGAGAGAGAGCTGAGCACCATCAGGCAGAAGGCTTCCTGGCAAAGTAGGGTGCCTGTTGTACTTATTGGCTGAGCTAAAGAGCTTTGTAACCTTTCTCCAAGCAGGGCAGAGGTTGGGCCAAGGGCCAGGGAGAAGCCTGCCTGAAGACAAGGCTGAGAAGAGGCTGTCCTGATCAAATAATTGTATCCTGAGTTGTTCCTGATATTGAATTGTAAATGTTACTTTCCTAATAAATCCCATAACTGTGAGTATGGTCTGTGAGTTCTGTGTGGCCATTGCAATGAATTATCAAGCCCAGCAGAAGAGCAGAGAGTGCTGTGTCAGAAATGGTAAAAAGATTGGACAGAGAAGATATGTCTGACCTCTGACTCATAACAATCAGCTTTGGGCTGATGCTGATGATGAGTCTTTCTCCCCGTCGTGAAGTTAAAGGAGGTCAGATGCTCCTACCACGCCATTTTTACACTGCCCATTCCAAAGAAAAGTGATCAAATAGAACATGGAAATTATTGAACCATGTCATTAATATCACATGCAAGCAAATTTTGCTGAAGATAATTCAAAAATGACTGTACCCATATATTGCCAGGGAACTTTGAGAAATTCAAGCCTGGTCTAAAGAGGACACAGAATGAGGGATATCATTGCTGATGTCAGATGAATCTTGGCTGAAAGCAGATGATACCAGAAAGATGTTTATCTGTGTTTTATTGTTTAAACAAAGACATTCGACTGTGTGGATCATACCAAATTACGGACAACATTGAAAAGAATGAGAATTGCAGAACAGTAAACTGTGCTCATGTAGAACCTGTAAATAGATCAAGAAGCAGTTGTTTGGACAGAACAAGGGGATACTGC